AACTTATTTAAAAATTTTCGATATCTGTAAAATTACTAAAATTTCACTTTTATTTTAAAATTAATTTTATCTTATTAATTAAATTTCTTATTATTAGAGATATAAACATTTTATTTTATTTTAATTGAGATATTCTAGATCGTTCAATTTTCTCCTTATGCTCTTCTATATAAGAGCCTCATATGTACAAATGAATTACCTGATCAATAATATCAAATTTTCTCCGATTTCTCTTTTGATAATTTTAATCATCATTGTCTTTCTTCTACCTTCTAATATGGTATAAGTAGAAACTTTTTATCCTTCATGAATGAGGTTCCGCTGCATTATTTTTTTCCCCTTTATGTCTGTTTCCTTTTTCGATCAACAGAAAAAAATCAATCATTATTCCGGTGATCTTTCTGGCGCCATGGTATTTTCTTTTTTAATTTGTTGCGGGTTTCTTCTCTGGTTCCCAGCCACCTTCCCGATCTACTTAATTTTTGTCCAGATCCGTGTCTTTTTTTCTCTAAACTTTCTTCCACATCTGATCGATCTACTTCACCGTTGCAGCCAAATGGTTCCTATATCTGTTATCTTTTTTTTCTTTCTAGCATTTTTCGTCTACCAACGTCCCTGTTCCAGATTCTCAGATCTCATTCTTTTTCTAGCATTTCATTTCTCCGGCAAGCACCATCGACGAAGCTGAGACGTTGTTGTGGTTTTGTTCCAGTTTTTCGGCGCAGCTCAACCTTGTTCAGTTCTTTTCCTAGATCTACAATGTTTGTGTTTCTTTTTTTCTTGCTTACAAATTGACTTGTTTCCACTTTTAAATTTCTATAATGGTTTTGTAGGAAGGATATATGAGTGATGAAGTGAAGGGCACATTTGCCTCTATTTTGGTCTATTGGCTATTCTTTTGACCTTGAAATGTTCGACGAAATGCCCCTAAGACTAACAAATGGTCTTGCGTTTGCACATTGTTCTCCATTATCAAGATCATCTGATGTTATTTTCTTTTAATTTGTCATTTTTTTATTGTTTGCCTTGTATTTGGCCACTTAGTTTTAATTTTCACTTATGTTTGTGGTGTTATTCAAGTCTGGTTTGTCTTGTATTTGATTTTGCCATTATTTGACTTTATTTTGGTCTCCCATTCAGGGGGAACATCTATCTCGATTGTTGCATGGTATGTAGATTATCCCGTTTATAGTGACTCCGTCAGCTTTTGTCTTAGTTGCAGCACTGATGTTCAGGCTGATGTCCATTCCAGCACATTATAGTTGATGTCCATTCCAACACTGTCTCTTTACCAGCTCTTCAGACTGATGATCATTCCAGGAGATTTGTTGTGCTACTAATTTCTCCGGTTGATATTCCGTTAAGATTTGTTTTAGTTTTCTTTTTCCCAAGATGGTGTGTTCATGTTGTTCACCCTTCATCTTGAGGGGGAGTATTAGAGATATAAATATGTTATTTTATTTTATTTGAGATATTCTAGATCTTTCTATTTTCTCCTTATGCTCTTTTATATAAGAGCTCTATATGTACAAATGAATTACCTTATCAATAGTATCAATTTTCCTCTAATTTATTTTTTGATAATTTTAATCATCATTGTCTCTCTTTTACCTTCTTACACTTATCTAATTTTATTTTATTTTTTGGTAAACTTTTATCTAATTAATTTCTCTTAAACATGATAAAAATCATAATTTCTTATTTTACTGGTGTGAGTTATTATAAAGATCATCTCCTTCATTTAAAATTGCAAGAACAATAGAAACAACATCATCACCCCTACATTCCGCATTTTTCTTTCCTGATAAAATGAAGCATGTCGTCTAATTCAGGCGCTTCAGAGGATGCACTTATTGTTATTTATTTTTTTGAAAAAAAGAGAAGATGCACTTGTTTTTATTGCAATTCAAACTTCCTCTCTGGGAAAAGCACTGTTAAGAATATTCAATATAGAAAAAAGAAAAAAAAAACACTTGCGATATTGACGCTAGGTAAATGGCCAATTGCTAAATAGCACCTCTTTGTTGGATTAATCTCAGTGAGCAATAACCTTTCCAATTTTCATATATCAATACGAAGCAGCACAATGGGCAATGAATATATGCAAGTCTAAAAAAATAGCCGACACATGATTCAATTGGCATTTGCCGCGCGGGCTAAGAGCTAGCCCAAATCTGATGATATACTACAACCTAAATCTAAATTATGAGATATTTGTGGATTCTTTTTTCATTACTTTATTATTTGGGTAAAATATTTTTATTTTTATTGTAATTTTTTTATGTAACACTCACGTTAAAGTGAGTGAGTTTCATTATAAGGAGAAAAATTAATATGATCTATTCACTTTTATATGAGTATAGTAGAAAAACAAAATTGCAGCTGAAATATTAAAATCTTATTATTATTAGTCCACTTTATTAATATTGATGTCTTAGATATCCTTGATTTCAGAATGGGGATGGATGTTATAATATTATAATTTCATAAATATTTTGAGTAGATATTATGTAAAAATTATGTATTTATATTTTTTATAAATATTTATAAACGTTAATAGAATCTTCGCATTTAATATTTATGAAAAAAATAAAATTTTCACGTTTAAAATTTGTATCATATTTTTTTTCATAAATATTTACAAATTTAATAAAATATATGTATTTAATGTTTATGAAATTAAAAATAAGTACAAGTTTTTACATATACAATTTTATTACAACTTTTTTAAAATATTTATAAATTTTAATAATATTATGTTCCCAACTTGAATAATATTATCTCCAGTAGAGGATACTTCTGCTTTATAAATAAAAAATTAAAAAATTATAATATCATGATGGAGTAAATATAATTAAAAAGATGAAATAAACCCCGAGTCAAATGTCAAAATGGGTTAAAACTCGCAAAACATTATATTTGACATTAATCCATTAGGTTTTTTTTTGTGGTAGGGCCTATTTTAGCCCACACCCTCAAAGCCCAATAATTTAGCAGGCTGTGCGGGTCAAACTTTTTATTTAATCAAAATTTTTATTATTTAAAAAACAAAAAACTATATAATTTAAATATTTATAAATAGTAAAAATTGTTGTGAATATGATGGAGAATATAAGCGAAAGTGAAATATGAAAGAAAGGAAAATGATGTAGAAAAAATAAATAAAAGAAAGAATAAAATAAGAATAAGTATGAGCAAAGAGTCATATATAAAGACATATCTTATATGCCTTTTTAAACATGAAAGTCATGAAAAAACAAAGAATCACATGTTATGAACCATGTGAAATGTCATTTATAATCCATGTGAAAGGTAATCCATAATCACTGACGGACCCAGAATTTTTTTTTTGTCTGCAAACTTAGGGTGGGGGGCCCCTTTTTTTTTTAAATCATGATCATGATCCAATTTTTCTTCCACTTCAAAAGTAGAGCTTTGGTGAATCAAACAAAGTTTTAAGGAAATAATCGATAATAATAATTAAAAAAAAAATAAACACCACATAAAGATATTTGTAAAATATAGTATAATTGTAGGGGTTAATCGATCAAAAACTCATCTTTGCCGATGTTTATTTGGTCCAAGGTTGGCCACTTTTGTTTAAAAAAAATGTGAAAAATTCGGTGCAATTCTCCTCCTCTTTGATCAAGATTGAATTTCATGAATCGTTGTTGTCTATTAAGATTTGGAGCTAATACGATTTATGTAAAAAAAGAAGAAACAAAGCAATGGACTAAGGTTTAAGGTTTAAGCTTTTAATTGTAAGGATTGGTCGGGTTGAGTTTATCTTTACCTTTTTCCTTTCAATCTTCCTATATTTTTTATTTTTTATATTTGACCTGAATCTCCCACCCCATGTGAACTTTTTTTTTTTCCAACTATGTGTCTGCAAGTGCAGACAATTGCAACCACCTGGGTCCGCCATTGCCCAAAATTCATGTGAAAGGTCATCCATAATATTTTATAAAATCCCTTTTGGATGTATTCTACAATTCAACACACCATTAGTGTGATGATTATAGAATATATCAAAATTCATGAAAAACAAAGGGTCACGTGTTATGAAACAGGTGAAAGTTCATCCATAATATTTTACAATAAAAATGAATTTTTCAATAGTGATATATTTTAACAGAGATTTTTATCTGCACATCAATAAAAATAAAATTTTCTATTGACATATAAGTATGTCATACATTCAAATTTGTATTGAAACATATTGTCTATAATAAACTTTTGTGATATCGTGGATAATAATAACTAAAAAGTTTTTTTGTAACGGTAATAGTTAAAGAAAATAAATAATTTTACTATTAAATATATAGCATACTAAGAGCAGTTATTCAATATCGGTATTAAGATAATTTTTTCATCATTACTTTAGTTTTCCACTACAATTGTTGTAGGTGAGAAATTTTTTATTTGATGGCATCATTTAATAATGAATTCAGTAAAAATAGTAACTAAAATTTTAATTGTATATTTATGTACAAATCTTATTTTATTAAATAATTTATAATTTGTACAAAATATGCTAAGAAAATGTTAAAATTTTATTTGTTAAAATATTTTTAATGTATTGAATATAATAAAAAAATTATGAAATTATAATTTTAAATGACCTGCGGACTAACTCTAACCAATAGGGCTTTTAGCCCGTGTGAGTCTTAATTATTGAAATTCATTTGGCTCTGTAGGCTTTTTGACCCTAACCTATACGGCTAGGGCCAAATGGAACGAGCTAACGCATTTTGATCATGATAGTTAAAATCGGAATTTTATCTAAATTCGGAAAGAGGATAAAAAATCATAAAACATAAAATTCTAATGTAAAAAAATCATAAAAAATCGTAAAAACATAAAAGTGTTTGAAATTTTGATGAAATCGTTTTGAGTAAAAAAAAATCTTTTAAAATCATAAAAGATGATTTTGACAATTATACCCCAAGACATAAAATATAAAAGGTGAGGCTTAACGCGTAGATAAGCAAAAACCCTAAAAAAAAAACACACCAACAGTGTGACTTTGCCAGTGTTTCTTCTCTTTCTCCCGCGAGCCCTTGCGTCGATCTACGACTACGAGGGGGGCTTCCCAGCCCTCTCTTTCTCTCTCTGTGGTGCAATTAAGGTATTTTCGTTTCGAGACCCTAAATCTTTTTGCATGTGTCTAAGTTTTTTTTTTTTAAATCGCGTTGATTGTTCTGTTGTTGGGGTTGCGGTGGATAAAAAACCGGATTTCAATTTACGGTGTGTCTTTTTCTATTTGTCTTCTAATTTGATTTGAATGCGGAACTGGACGAGATCCTTCGATGGTCGCTGTGTTTGAACATATCGCTTGTGTGTTTTTTTATAGTTATTGGATTCGGTATTCAAATTCTTTTAAATTATGGCTTGGGAACAATATATTTAATTACTGTAAAAGATTTACGCTATGGGCTTCTGATTTTCCTATCATACATTGAATAACCTATTTATAATGGTAATTTATGACTCTAAGGAAAACAAACTTTATTACTGCTGGGTGGAAAATTTGTGTTCTACACTTTTTTTTTTTTGAGAAAAAGACAATCATTTTGTTTAAAAGAACAAGTTGTGCATTGCTCTTTCTTGTAATACTGACCTACATAAGCTACGAGGTTTCAGCTGATGTTGCAGGTAACCTCTGCCTTTTTTGATATATTTGTTTCGGTTATTTAGGTTGTCTGTCTTCACATGAAAGCATTGCATCCTTGACGCCTTTGCCTCAAAGGATTTGCATTCTTCTAGTTTTGGAGAACTTGGATATTTGGAGAGTTGTCTTGCACTCCCTGCTTTATTTCATCACCATGATTGCCACAGAAACTTTCGCACCGTGCAAAAAATTGAAGATCAAGTTCTCCACCAAAAGGATAGAAGTTGATATTGGGTCAAAATGTGAGTTTGGACCGAAAGTGTCTCAAATTGATGAAAATGGGCGATGTGATTCAAACAAAAAATCCTCTATGCCAGATTCCAAAAAGAGGGGTCCGCCTGGGAGTATTGAGGGCCAAAAAGAGAAAAGACAGAAGATCGATAGGAAAAGATCACAGCAGTGTGCTTCAATCCTGAAGAGTTTAACATCTCATCCCTATAGCTGGGTGTTTAGTAAGCCAGTGGATCCTGTAGCATTAAATATTCCAGATTATTTTACAATCATATCTCAACCCATGGATCTAGGCACTATCAAATCCAAGCTGGAGAAAAATTTTTATTTTGGCATTGAGGAGTTTGCAGCTGATGTCAGACTGACCTTTTCAAATGCCATGACATATAATCCTCCTGGTAATGATGTTCATTTAATGGCTAAGGAACTCAACAAGATATTTGACAGAAAATGGGAAGATTTGGATAAAAAATTGAAGAGTGAGGATGAGTATAGAAAAAGCGCAACTGGAACAATGAAGGAATCTGTGATAAAAAGTTGCAATGGGATGCATGCCCTGCATAAAGATACATTGCCCAAGAAGTCACAAGTATCAAAAAATAAGGGAATTCATAAGATTAGTTCATTGGCTGCAAGAGGTGCTAAAGTAAGTGTTGTTTTCTATGAGGGTGAAAAACCTTACTATAATATGCAAGAATACAATGTTACTTGAATTGATGAAATAACATCTATGCTTCTACCAACTTTGTTCTCCATGGTCACCTTACACATCTTTTGTTTCTTTTTATATATTTTTTGAAAGATGTCATTATATTGGCAATGTTTTTCTCATAGGTGGAGGTGCCTAAATTTTCGCAGATTCCTTGCAAATTGATTGAGAAAGATTCGCGCAAAGGTATGATGCTTTAAGAATACAGTACGGGTTTATGGCTCTGTAAAGGAGCTAATAGCTGTGTATTCTATAGGCAGCAAAGATAACCATGATGGGGAACAGCCATCTGGCTCTGTAAAGGCCTGTCCTTCATTGCATCTTGTCACATGCAAGTGTAGTATTTGTGGTGACATCGCATGCAATTGTGTAATTCCTAGCAATTCTACTCGAGTGTCATCAGGTAGGTAAACATTTGCTGGTTGCTTCTCTGTTTAGTGTCATTTGTTGCATAATTGATTTATATTTGTGCATTGATTTTGATATATCTTCTGAAGGATCTGAAGCAAGGGACCTAATTGCACATGGTGCTGATGCTTCGAGACAGGTATTGACAATCACATTATTAATATCATTAGCGAAATTAGCTATAGCTTTTAGAAATTTATTTATTTGAAAATCTAAGAAGAAACTTTATATCTAATTCCAGGACTGCCAGACTAAATGTACATTGCCTTTGCAGAGGAAATCTGATCCTGATTCCGATGGTGAGAAGGATTTATGATTTGTATATGTTATGCTCTACCTACCTGTTACTTTCATGCTGACTTGGCATACTTGATGTTGGTATTATACAAAGGTGCTGTAAGTTCTTTGGATAGTGAACATCTATGTCCTAGTTCTCAGCTTTCAACTCTTGCTACTGATGCCTCTTCTGGGGAAGGTCAGCTTCTCTTCCTTGTATGCTTCAATTAACTGCTGATGCTTTTTGTACTGTGAATTGGTATTATGCTAATTACTTTTGTTTGTTTTTTATGTCTTAGGATGGAGCGCCACTGTTTTTCCTGTACAGCTGTCACCTAAAAAGGCTCTCCGTGCTGCTATGCTTAAAAGCCGCTTTGCAGATACCATCTTGAAAGCACAACAAAAGACACTTCTTGAACATGTAAGGTTTATATGAATGGTGTCTTGATTGCAGTACTTTATCCTCTTGCCTTAGTACAGGGTACTTCCTAATACAGTGTGGTTTCCTGATTAATTGTCATTGCTCTTTTTAGCGTGACAAAGGTGATCCTCTGAAAATGCAGCAGGAAAAGGAGAGATTGGAAAGGATGCAGCGTGAAGGTGAATATTATATATCTTACTTGGGAGTCAATTTAATTGGGTAGAACATATCTGTTTGCTTGTTTTGAACTTTGAATGCTCATCAGTAGCATTATTTGTCTGTTCCATTTTTGCAATGCACTTAATCTTTCTAAATAGTAGGGTGCGGTGCTTCGTGTAATCTATTTCTTCCATTTGTGTTAAAAGTTGCCATGTATTGTGTAAACCAAATACACTCTCTTGAATTATCTGATTACATTGATGTGTTATATTGGGATATATTTCAAGTATTATATGATTGTGGGTTCATCTACCACCAACCCCAACTAGTTTGGGATAAAGGTATTGTTGATGTTGATATGATTGTGGGTTGGTAGGGCAATAAGATAATGTGAACTGTTGGTATATTGACTGGAGGACCTTTTAATATCGAACAATTAATAAAGGCACTCAAGCTTTTAATTTTATGGATCACGAGAAGAAGGAAAATCATCAATATTCAGGTTTTCCCCTCTAGTTAGTGTAAGTTGATTGTCAGTGTTGTGCCATATAAATTTTTAGTGGTACCATCTGGCAACGATTCCCTTTGCCGTTTTGTATCGTTTGTTGTTCAGAGAGTAACTACTACTTGCTGTAACTTCTCGTTATTAAGTACTTTTTAATTTTATTTTGGTGCATATTGCATAAACTTTTATGCTACATTATGCTTGAGTTATGATAAGAGATACCTCGAAGTGATTTTACTTTTTGGGCTGATGAGAATTGTAATTTAATTCATTTATGATTACAACCTTTTTTCATGCATAACAGAGAGAGCTAGGATTGAAGCCCAAATTAAAACTGCTGAAGCTGCTGCAAGAATGAGGGCTGAGGAAGACCTGAGGCAACGAAGAGAAAAGGAAAGGGAAGCTGCACGAGTTGCAATTGAAAAGGTTTTTTTTTTTCTCATATATATATCTGCCTGTCTCTCTCTCCTGTGTGTTTTATCTTGAATTTCGTGTAATTAACAATAAATTCTCACTGTGATGTCTTATTTTGTAGATGAAAAGAACTGTGGAGATAGAACATAATTTGGAGATTCTGAAAGAACTCGAAATTTTGAGTGGGTGTACTTTATCTTATAAGGCACCAAGCGGTAGAAATGGCTACAGAGTTGCAATGAAGACATTGGATAAACCTCACTTTGAGAACCCATTGGAGCGGCTTGGTTTATTTATCAAGGATGAATATACCGCAGATGAAGACGAGGAGGTTCTGAACGGAGGGTGGGAAGAAGGGGAAATTTTCCCTTGATATGCACTGAGATGTAGTTCTGCCAGCTCTAATTGGACAGGGAAAACAGACAATGATTGTAAATAGGTCTTTTGATCATGTCTGCCCTAATGCTTCCGTTATTTTTGTCTGTCTTGTTAGTGGATGTAGGACCAAAATCCAATTGGGAGCAAAATACATGGACTTGCAATTTTTTTTTTTAATTCATTTCTTGGAGCATTCCTCTGCGCAAACATGGAATCCCTGATAGACGAGTGGTGCGTCTTTGATATAAAATCTTGTGATAAAATTTACAAAATAAAAAATATTGTTCTGATAAATATTATGTGAAAAAAAGTAAAATATTTGACTAATTACCAAATATTATTTTTTAAAAAGTTGATATTTGATGTTTAATTAAACTCGGATTCGTGCTGTTTGTTTTACTCATCTCTCGGAGCATACCTCTCACCAAACATAGAAGCCCTGTTGCTTGTAGCCGTAGTAATAGCTGGTCGTTTTTTTTTTTTTTTTTTTTTAAAGTTAAAAATTACTTATAAGTATAAGTTAGATCAAATAGATTTTGAGAAAAGTTCTTATATTGAAATTTGTTTTTTTTTTTATATTTATAATGAAGTAAAAAACTAAAAGTTCTTAGAAGAAATTTTTTTAAGCACTTATATACTTTTATTGAATTGTGTGTTTTTTTTTTTAAATGAAAAATTACAAATATAGAAAGATAATTTTCTTAAAATATGTATTTTTAAATTAAAATTTTTATGTAATTATTAAACAGTTTTAACTTTTTTTTAAACTTTTTTTTTTAGCTTTAACTTATAAGTAATTTTTAACTTAGAGAAAAAGACAGAAATGTTTAATTCATTACCAAAATGTTTTATAGGGTTGCTAGCTATTGTGCCACTTACAGGCACAAGCAAGTTTTTTTAGGAATAATATATGTAACCATAACGAACCGCCTTTGATTTCCTTATAACAAGCTTTGCCCATTTCCAAATTAGTTGTTTATTTTATTTCACATGTGATTCGCGGAGCATGCCATCAACACAGATTTCATTTCCCAGTCATTTCTAGGGTAATCACTTCCATACATTAGATTTTAATGGCTAAAAGGAAAGAGGAAAATGAAGTAGAAATTATATCCCAGTCATCTAAAACTATGGTAGATAATCAATTAGCTAAATCACTATATTATTGATAAAACATCTTCCAGTCAGGAAAATTATCCGTACACAAATCTGTAAAACAAGGGAAGATGAGAGATGAAAAATGCTTTGAATGCTGCTCAGCTACATGTTGGATGTTGGAGGTAAGACAAGGCATCTTTGCATCCTACACTTGCCACCAGTTATGAACGCTATACCGTTCATATGGCGTATTTATTTTTAGCCTGTTTGTCAAACTTCTTTGCATCGTCCTGGAGAAAATACCAATACAGGTAATCAATAAATACAAATAAGATAAATTTGCAACAATACAAATGCAAAAGCACCCAGATAGTTCTACTTACATGAAATATAAAGCCAATGGTCTCATTATAATCAAGAAACTCCTTCCACTGTTTTCCAATGCTCACCTTCAAAAATTTTAATTTCGACGTTCCTCATGATGTCAGAAGAATTTGAGAGAAGATTTAAACAGTCATAAGCACGAGCACACAAAGACCCTCACCCATAGACCAAAAATTATATATTTATAGAACTGTCCATTGCTAATATTCAGTGTAATGACCAAGTTCAAGAGTGAAGTATATAGAACTATCACAACATACATATATAGCATAATTACACATTCCTTCAACTACTAGCAGAACAACTGACAAATTTCCTAAGGCAAAAAGAAGTGAAAACTTTTCATTTAAATTACTCATGAACCGTGAATATCTGCTATTTGAACTGTGATATATAACAGCAACAATAACAAGAGTGGGCCTCAATGGTTCTCATTCATATGAACCATCTAGTTCCTCCTTATTTTGAGTGCAATTCACATAACAAACAGACCAAGGAGCACCCTTTCGTTGGCATAATCATAATTTTATTGCTTAACATCAAGATAAATACTCCCCCACGAACTTTTTAATAGAAAATCAAGAACTAAAATTCCTACGCTCCATCTCACCCATAGTTATCAAATGCGGTTTGCGGCATGTCGTGGCCAACCCCGAAAACGCTACAGCTTTATAGCGGGTTGGAAAATAGCGGAATAGATATATGACATAAATAATGACAAAAAGAAACATTTTTTAAAGGCTCGCAGAGATAGCAAAAGTGACGGATAGAGACGCGGATAGACTAAAAAACCCTTAAATTTTTTCGGTTACACACTTAAATTTAGAACAAAATTGACATTTTGCCTTATGACAACAATATGGCCGCAAATGCGATCGCAATGGCAGCTATTGCTTTCCGGTGCGGCGCGGTTTCTTGCGGCGAGGCACCGCAACGCCCATACGGCGCGGATCGCGGCACTATTAACTACTATGATCTCACCCTAACCTAAAAAGAATGTTACCTGAGCAGGTTCATTTGTAGCGTTCTTAGTCCAAAGAGCAATTTTTTCCTGCCTACCTCTGACATTCACAACTGCTCCGCAAATTTCATCTCCGTGATCAAATTGTTCTCCAATCATTGCCAACAACTTGAGTTTAACAACAAAAATATAGAGTATCATTAGTTTTACCACAAAGCAATTACAAAATCAATGCCCTCAACGTTTATAACATGACAGATTCTATCTAAAGAATACCGTGTATAACCAACTGGTATCAGATTTTCCCCTAGAAAAGGTAACAGTCCATTTCCCACCATTAGCGCAGATGGGGTGCTCCCATTTTGGCTCAATCTTATCCTTGAAACAATGGAAGTCTGCTCCCACAGCCAACTTGCTTGGATGGTGTAAGTTATTATAAATGCTGAAAGAATCAAAAAAGAAAGCACAAGAAACCATTTTATTTATTTGTTTATTTACTTAAAGAACCATGAAATGTTACAGAAACGAGACATGAGAAAGAAACAATCTTGTTTGGACCCAGAAAGAAGTTAAGGGAGAAAAGAAGAGAAGAAAGGGAAAAGATTGAAGCTTGACCTCCAAAACTGCTCAACGGTGGAGAAGGTGTAGATGGGTCGGATTGAACTGCCCCAAGCAGCTTGCTTGGTCTTGGCTGAAGGGTTATCGAACCAGAAAGTCCATGAATTCTCGAGAGGGTGATGAGGTTGCCGGACAAGGGTTGCCGGAGGCTTGGAAGTGGCGGAGGAATCGTCGTCGTCGAGGATCTCTCCGTCTTCGAGGTCGTCGTTGTCGTCGAGAACCCTAGGGTTATTGCTGATTTGGTCGTCGGTGATGCTAGATTTTGGGGTATCTTCCACAGCCATTTTTTTCTCTCTCTCTCACTTTTTTCCTTTCTTTCTTTCTTGCACTTTCTCTGTCTCAACTCACGTATCGATGGATTTCACTGATTTGGCGTTTTTATTCAGAAGCAATACAACCAGAACTTACGGGCTGGGTTAGTTTTCAAGGCCCATACTTGTAATATTATTTTAATTTTTAAATTATTACTTATTTTACTGGATAATATTTGTGCCTCATTTGATTTAAAGTTAGTAGTCTCCTCCTATGAGACTACTATTTCTCTTAAAGTTAATACAATATTTTGATATGTTACAATGGGCGAATACAGTTATGTAGATACCAAAAGAACACATCTCAATTAATCTCCTTGAGATATCATTATCATTGTGGTCTGCTGTGATATTTTGCTGGTGTTGCCTTCTATAGAGGTGGAATTTATCTGTTGCTTTATTTATTCGAGTTAAGATTATTTTTTCTCGGTATAAATTATGGTAAGAAGTATTTTTATTTTTACTGTGGAAAAACTCTGTCTATCACAAACACATTTTTATCAGGATCCATCAACGGATCCGAGTGAATATGTATCTTTCTGCCACAGCTGCAGAAAAATAAAACTTATGAATTATTCTCTCAATATTTATTGTTGATCCAATTTATATCTAGCTTTCTACTTCATTAGATATTTAAGTCATTAGATGCAACTAAAGTAATGATTAAAATTTGATATATAAGACTTCTTATTCCTATGACAATGTAAAAATAATTTGTTCCTATTTATTTATTCATACCTGGATTTGGTTGTAATCCATCAATTTTTTCATGTGTAAATGATAATTGAAGTTTTAAGAGTAAACTTAAAAACCACATTATTTTTTTAATAAATTTTAGGGATAAAATGTTATACCTATTTTTTTTATAGATACTCTACTTACTCCTCTTTAACATCATTAAATGAATAATGATCATTTGAAATTACAATCTAATAGTGTTGGAGAAAAGGCAGTATAATAGACAAGAAAAAAAAAAGCATAACATCTTATCCCAAAATTTTATCATGAAATTAATTTTTCAAAATTACAAACCAATTACTAAACCTATCTTTTTCCAACGATTTTCATCATTAACTTTGTCTTTTTATGTTATTGATTTTAATCTTTTACAAGAACATATACAATGACCTTTTAAAGCTTTAAAGAACTAAATTAGTAACAAAAACTTTTAAGAACACAAACAAATTAGAAATTGTGATACTAATTCATCCAATATTCATTACTTCTAGAGCAAAAGGCAACACCGCCTAGAAAAGCTGTTTTTATGCAAACCATGACCCTAAATGATATTTGAAAGGGTCAAGGATTGGTTAGCATCCAGTTCCAAATGGAATAATCATAAAGCCAGCACCAGAACAAACACATTTTGTCAGCAAACATAAAATAGCAAATATTATCAGCAACGCACAAACGAAGCATGTAACTATTATTTTGTATAAAAAAAATTTCAACAGCTTCTTAGTTTTTAGCGCTCATTAAGCAAGTAAACTTAGACTCCAGGAATTGGATATTGAGAAGTAAGAGCTTCAACTTTCCTACGCAATTCTGAAACCTTATCTCCCAAAGGGAATTCAGGAGATGCTACAAACTTCAAAAAATCTTGGACCTTTGTTCCTGAGACCAAACTCTTGGCTTCAAGACTTATCTGCACACCTTCATGAATGAAGTCTGCAATCAGTGCAAATTCTTTCTCACCGAGTCCTCTTGTTGTCATTGCAGGTGAACCGATGCGAATGCCTCCCGGAACTAGGGCACTCTTGTCACCTTTTGTAATTAGCACATGTCAGTGATAATCGAACATAAATATCACAAGGAATAAGCAAAAATGGCAGACTAAATGAATACACAGCAAGCAGCAAGTGTCTCACCAGGTACTGAATTTTTGTTGAGGGTTATAGAAGCCATATCAAGAATTTTCTCCACCCGAGCACCATCAATACCCTAATGGATGTGATGCGGATTAATATGAAATATAGCCAAGGTGATAAAAAGGATCATACATCAATATGCAAAATCATGTCTTTTCACATTAAAAAGCATGCCAGAAATTTACATTGCACTGCAAGTGTTAGGAACCCAAAACAGATTCGAAGTTTTCAGAGGGAGAGATGAGAAAAACAGAAAAAGGAAAAGAGAAAGAATGCTTTCATATTGTTTACTAAATTACAAAGAACAAGAAGGAAAATTCTCCTTCCAAAGACTTCTCTTTCACAAAAGAGAAAATTCCCCCTTTATGCAAGAGAGCTAATGCAATGATGACAAATCATAATGCCCACTCTTCTACCCTCTCCTCCTATTTAAGCTAATTCCCCACATCTACAACTTTACCTGCATGAGAATTTCATGTAATCAACTACTCTAATTATCAACTACTCTAATTATCAACTACTCTAATTAACAACTCTCTGGTTCTATCAGTAAGTTTATGAGAAAGTTGACATTCATACATTATTTCTATAATAGGTTTGGGGAGGGGGAAAAAACGAGGGAACTAAGCATTTTATTCTGACTAAAAACAAAAAAGAATAGCAAGAAGCTTACAGACGGCCTCAAATCGACAAGAACCAGGTGATTATCACTACCACCAGAAACCAGTTTATAACCATGCTCGATTAACCGATTAGCAAGAGCTCTACAGTTAGCGACCACCTGCAGGATGGTAGTTTTATCAGTGTCACTGTTATGAAGTGACATATGCCCAACTCTAACCAATGATGAAAAGGGATATTGATATACCTGGTTTTGGTAAATTTTAAATTCCGGAGACTGGGCATGCTTCAAGCAAACTGCTAGTCCTCCAATTGTGTGGTTGTGAGGACCCCCCTGGATAATTCAACATTATATAAAAATCACAAACTAGGAAGGTATAGTAGAAAAATGCATCTGACTCCATAAGTACATAGGATGCCACACACTTCTTCTCAATCAGGATAGTTAAACGAGAACTAATTAGAGGACATTGCTAATTTACCTGTAGGCCAGGAAAAACAGCATTGTTAATGGCAGACTCCAGATCAACTCCATGCACGGAATCTTTCTTGAAGAATATCATACCACCCCTTGGACCTCTCAAAGACTGGAGGAAAATATGAAACGGATTAATTCACACGTAAATTACTTCTCAGTTTCAAGTAAACATAGCATTATGTTTTTACAAAAGTAAACGCAAATTCCTCTTCTCTCTTTCAGTTTGAAGACAGATATCAAGCGCAACATAGAAATATCTCAAGGCAAACCTTGTGAGTTGTGGTGGTCACAATATCACAAAACTCGAAGGGATTAGCAAGCACAGATGCAGCAACAAGCCCACTTATGTGAGCCATATCCATCATAAGAAAAGCACCTACTTCATCTGCAATCTTCCCATGCATAAAAGATAATAATTAGCTTTTTGCCAAGAAAAAATCACATAATATAGAGATTAGATCATGATCAAGATATACTTCCAGAAAATACCTAAGTACATAACATACTTTTAAGTACATAACATACTTTTCTCATGCGAGGATAGTCAATGTCTCGAGGATAAGCACTAGCACCAGCAATAATAAGTTTTGGTCGGAAGAGATTAGCTGTTTTCTCCAGCATATCATAATCAATAAAACCTGTTGTGATTCCAAAGTGGGTTAAAAATGGTTATATCACAAATTAGACAATATATCTAACAAATTCAATGACAAAACAAACACCTGTTGATTCATCAAGTCGATAAGGCATAGATTCAAAATAAATTGATGTGCCTGATACACGTCTTTTAGGTGTCATGAAGCCATGGGACAAATGTCCCCCATGAGGCAAGTCCAGGCCCTAGTAACATAGCATTATATATTACAACAACCACATAATAGACTGCCATTTTGGAATAGTCAAAATCAAATGATTGAGAAGTGGTTTACCATTATTCGATCATGCGGTTTAAGAATTGCAGTGTATGCTGCAAAATTAGCTGGGGAACCAGATAATGGTTGAACATTAACACCCCACTCATTTCTATCAACATGAAATGCAGCCAGTGCTCTTTCTTGACACAGGGTTTCGAGCACATCAATGTACTCATTGCCACCATAGTACCTTGCATGTGTAATGAGACTCCAATAAATGAAATTGCAGAAGCAGAAAAGGAAGGAAGAATTTAGAAAAATTCTCATTTTTTTGAGAAAAAGTAAAAAATCATTTACCTTTTACCCGGCAGTCCTTCTGAGTACTTGTTTGTAAGGCATGAACCAACTGCTTCCATCACTGCTCTAGATGTAAAATTCTCAGAAGCAATAAGCTCAAGACTTTTAAATTGTCGCTCCTTTTCCTTTTCAATAATTGCACGAACCTCAGGATCAGCTTCACTCAAGCCATAGTCCAGGAAGCTACTTCCATTACCTGATATTTGCAATTGCATGTGTTTCCATAGACAAAAAAGATCATCCATCAGGCATAAATTTAAATATTTGTATACTGTATTCAGTATATATTGATATAATGATATCAACCAAACCAGAGAAGAGAGTACAGTAACAAATATTCCAAAGCTGTTTTATTATCATGAAAGAGATTTGCTCAACCATAAGTTAATATACAGTTGTTGACATTGTCATACTTATATTACTTGATGTTAAATGCCACATAACAAGATATCTAGAATGAACATTGAAGGAAGAACAAAGAATGAGAAGATCAAATAATCAGAAATAAAAAATAAAAAAAGGAATCTTTCTATCCCACCAAATTGCATGTTACAGTTTAGCAGCTGCAGTTGTATTCCATTGGTAGATACAAAAACAAAACAGAAAACCTCAAGAATGTTGCTTGGGAAGCTTCGCACTTGTTTTACATACAACTATCTTAGAAATTTAGAGGTTTCTAGCAACCTCAATTATTCAGAAGAAAAAAAAAACGCTAGCCCTTCACACATGATAATTTTTCAATTAGATGGTAAACTACTGTTACCTCCAATTTCAGGCACAGAGAAAGACAAAGATGATGGCTTCCCAGTGACTAAATTTCCTTCAACATGAGATGCTTTGCATGGCTTCACATTGTAGAACCTTACTTGAGGGATAAATCCATTACTGCTATACCCTTCTGCATGGAAATTCAGCCCCTTGGTCCAAACAGGTTGTTGCAAAGAACCCATCATTGCAACTCCAGTACACGCTTGCATCCTTGTCTTATGAATTTATGAGTCAGTGCTACACCGCTCCCTACATGGTTCATAATTCATCGTGCAATAAAATTAATATGACAGATTAATACATCAAAATACAGCTACAGATTGTTTTCTTGAAAGTGTATAATAGTTTTGAACAAACAAATGTACTATTCTAAGTGCTATTACTTTTCTGTCATATTAAAATCAAAGGAATAAAGGATATCAGCAGAACAATATTAGCAGCAGCACAAGCACTGTTAAATACCACTCTCACCCTAACGGAATTCAATTTCTAAAGCCAAACATCTCGTGAAAATAAAAATAAAAAATACTAATAACTTAAAAAATTCCTGGCTTCCATCTCCTATATCTCACGAACTTATTCAAAGACTTCAATTATTCTACAATGACCAAAAAAAAAATAAAAAAAATTACAAAACAGAAGTCTGTATTTTTTATTTTTTTTGCCCCTGTGCTTTGGCTCTTTACTCTTACTGGTCACAGTTCAAACTTGAAAACCCTGAAAATCACGTGTCAGCAAGTTCTGCTTTTCGAAACGTGAACACCATAAAAATTCAATCTTTACCCTGTCCTTCAACAACAACAATCTTTCACCATGTGAAATTATTATACCCACCAAGGAATACTGAATATGAAAGCAAAATAAAGACGGAATTTTTTAATATACCATCTACACCCACTCAATAAAAACAACAACCCATGAAAATCAACTTGAGCCTTACCCTTATATTTTTCGGAAAGAGGTTGTTTATGGTGAAAAAAGCAGAGAAAGAGGTAGTGAGTGAGCAGTGAGGAGGGAAAGCAGAACACAAAAACAGAAACAATAAGGGAGAGACAGTAACAGCGGCGCGCAACCAATCCGTGTGGTGTGGTCTATTAGCGCTGCTGCATAAATAATTAAATAATATATATTAAAAAAAATGCGCGTGAGAATATAAAATTGTGTCATTTTAAGAAAGAGTAAGATAAAAATAAAGGAAAGAGAGTTGAAAAAAATAAAATAAAGGTGTGAGTCTCACTTCTTTGTAAGAGTAAAATGACATAAATTCTGTCATTTAAAAGAATAAATACTTTTCTCATAAATATAACACAGAACTTATTTAAAAGGGAAAGGACTTTAAATTAAAAGCGGAAAATAAATAAATTATTTCTTATAACATATAAAAAAAAAAAAAAAAGTGGATGAAACTTATTAAAAAGAAGATAGAATGAAAAAAAAGGATTTCATTGATTTTTTAACGTGTTATATGATATAATTTATCTCATTTTCAGTTAAAAATCCTTGTTATGATTTTATATTTATTATACATCAGAATATAATCCGTTCAAGTTTAATAATCATCGAGAGTGATTTGTTTTAAATGTTTAATTGGTAAATTTCTCTTTATTTTAAACTTTTATTTACCACAAGAATCACTATATGAATAATTGTTTATTTAAATCAATATATTGATAATTACTATTCTTGTTTATAATTAAATATAATATTTTTGTTAATGACTTTTTAATCACACTTAAGAGCCACCATTTCAACTTTTTTATTTTTTATTTTTTCACTAAGTCTTTGGATTTTTTGTATCAAAGAATTTCAAATTATATGACATACGTTGTCATGACACTGATGTTTTTGGTTAATCAAGAGACTCTGACCGCATTTTTTAGAGTTAGAATTTTATTGCTCTCTATAAAGGGGCAATAACACACCCAACCTGATGCATTATTATGACCAAAACATAACATATTTTTAGAATGATAAACACTTTTTTCACAAATAATAAATTCTATTTTCTTTAAATGAAAACGTTAACCAAACTAATAAAAGAGAAGTAGAAATATAATACTGTAAGAAAATTATTACCTTATCTTATAACCATAAGGATTGTGGAACCCATATTTTTTTTTGTTTTTTTGAAAACAAGTGTAAATCCTACCATCTTTATCTTTATAACATAACTTATAACTTAACAACTTTTAATTGATCGGCTATTTTCATAAGAAGCTTATCTGTATTATTATATAAAAAGGAATTCCTGACTTTTATCTTTAATTTTTTTTTTAAATTGTGGTTTTTAATTCTGCATTAAAGGTAAATATAAAAAATAAAATTATAGAGAAATATGCGTAATTTGAATGTAGATTTGCTTGATTAAATAAGATAAACAAAAGTAGAATAATAAAAAAAGGTAATGAAAATAATACATACAATTATGACTTAAGATTAGAAAATATATTTTACTTTGCACAAAATAGGTGGAAAACAAGTGTTTTATTTCAAATTCACCAATTGTTTACCTTCTAGTGTCCAACTCCTCAACTAAGCAAAAGGACACAGATAAATTTATTTTATTTTGGGTGAAAACTGAAAAATACAGATATTTTTCTACCAAGTTTTTATTTTTTCAGCCAATCAAGGGAGAGTGATAAAACTCCATCCTCACCACCGGTGGATTCTTTTCTTAGTCAAGATATCGCATAATTCTTCTTTAATTTTAAGGGGTCATCCTCATACAACTTCCCTTGGCTAGAACCGAATTAGATTCGCTTTTTTAAGAAAAAAAAGTGTTTTCTCAACCATTAACAATCTACATCAATTGCATTATTGCATACCAACAAAAATCATAGCTGAACCTTTTTCATTGCTTTTTGCCAAAAGCACATATTCGTCTAATGGAAGAGAGAAACAATGGATAATGATTTGATTGCTAGATAAGATATTTAAATTGTCATGACAGTATTGATATTCATAATCCAGATAAACCAGTTTGTAGCCACATAATTTCATATACAATTTACATAGACTCCAGGACCAAATTATTTCATACTGTATTTTTTTTTATTTTTTTTTTGTATTAGGTGGGAGGAAACACGGGAAAGGTGGGTTGGGGACCTTGTGGTGGCTATCCACTAACAAAACAACATCAGCAGAAGATGTGTTTCATTCAACATGGGAAAGACCCCCGCCAGTTTCAGAACGTGTCCTACAAAAGAATTAGTCAACTATAACTTTAGCAATCGCAATGTACAAAAGCATGCAATCTTATGGAAAGAAAAAAAAAATGATGGGGTGAGGGGGGAAATGAAAGAGAAATATGTGTGTTCCTGGGATGCACATGCATGAGGCAACTATGCTTCATATGGATCTCAAATGGATCATGTAAGCAACATTGAGCAAACACTATGACCAAGAAATGGATTTAAACAATTGGAATTCTTTCAGAGGATTAAAACAACTAATTGCCGGAGTTATATATAAACTAAAATCAATGAGCTTGCTGAAGACAATTTCTAGAGGGCAATTATTTGCTAATAGGACAAGGACTTATATGTTGCAATTAAGCAAAGATGGGGATTAAAAATGCCTAATGTGGAGAATTCAACATCGTTGTTCTGTATCCACACTGAAAGGAAATTAGACTTCACACATGCTAGCCTCCTTGATGCAAACAATATAGATGAATGTCTTGGAAGGATATAAAAAAAAATGATAATAAGATAATGTCAAGGGTTCAATACTTACTTGTGGTCAGAAGGATTTGGCATAAGTTCATAAACAATAGTGGCAACAACGTCCCTTTTTAACTACACAATCAACAACAAAAGTTAATAGTCTGACTAGACTATAAACAACCAGTAACACTGAATTTAGCAGTTAAACTACCTGAGTGGCTTCGCCTTTAAAGCCAATATAGTGTATTTTAGTTGTGTCACCTCCAAAATTGTCAGGAAAATGCAACGTAATATTTGCCACACTTTGAAATTTAGAATATCTAGTCAAAAGGATCAATACATTACAACGATGGCAGAAATACAAGAAAACTCCAATGACACAAAGCAGTAGTGCCCTTAATTATTGATAGTATGTAAATATACTACATTAATACCACATATGAAATGCATAACATACATGTATTACGGCCTTATTGAATAATTCACAATATTTTCACGCATAAGTGTTTGTAGACAAGGCCAATGTGATTATGAACTAACTAAAATGAGAAGTAGGTAATGATTACCTTGTCTGGTATTCCAATACTCCTTGCATATTCTCAACCAACTCCCATTCCTTGAAGAAATAAAAATCCAAGTTTCATACAAGTTGTGGTGTTGCAATTGTCAAGTAATTCCTTGAAAACTTTAAGAGAAACTATACCTGAATGGCTTGCATGCTTTGTGCATCTGAAAAGTCAATGCCATCTCGATTGATGAACCTAATTCAAGTTGGAAGTGTTCAGCCTTTTATGTAAGAGAATATTTGCAATAAAAAGAATTATAGTAATTGAATATTCAATTAAGTCAAGTTTATACAAATTTTATTTTCCAAAGTATAACATATTATACAGAGGTGGTATTGAGTCTACAGACTATAAAGGGGATACTGAGAAAATAGACGAAATACACCATTGTTAGTCCAAACACAAACTGCATTACCCTTGAGGGAAAGTAAGTAATAGGCAAGAGGTGGATAAACATCTATTGTTAATTTCCTCTTTCATCTCACAACCTTTCCTCTTGAGGTTCAATCCCAGTGGCAGTGCATTTACAAAAAGAGCAAAAAATAAATAAATAAAGGTTTACTCATAATAAAAGGCACAAGAAAGTTCTCTTGGTACAAGCATTTACTAAGATAAAAAAGGGGCAGCCTAGTGCTATAAAGCTCCCGTTATATGCTGGGTCCAAAGAAGGGTCATACCTATTGTGTGGGTCTATAATAGGCAGGCTTCCCTTGCTTTTTCAAGAGGCTAATTACATGAATCAAATTTGTGACTTCATGGTCACATGGCGACAACACCAAGCATTTACTAAGATTTTTAAATTATTTTCCTTGATTTCCAAGGGAGAATATAATTAAATCAATCATACAACAAGCAACAGAGGATACCATTATGCAAGCTAAACACACGAGCGTCAAACAACATAGAATATTGGGGAAAAGGATGACCAAGAAGATGGTAATCAAAAATAAGTTTGTGTCACATGAATAATCCACATACATTTCACAGGCTGGACTTGGGGTTTTGGGGGGGGGGGGGGGGCGGGGGGGGGAATGTACCACAATCATCAGAGAATCAAAGATGATAAATGTCATAGAAGAAATGTTTCAAATAGTAAAATGGTAAAGCAACACACATTTAAAACCCAGTTGTTGTCAAAGTCAAACACAAACCAAAAATTAGAGTTGCACAGGCTTGTACTTTTCTCAGAACTTAAAACATAATTACTTTCGAGAATTTCTACCAAAAGTCACTAATAAAAATGTCAGTCAAATAGAACAAAGCTTCTTCAAAACAACGACAACTTACGCTCTCATCTTTGAAGGACTTGTTCCATCAGCTCCACCAACTATGGATATGCTCTTAATTTTGACATCTGAAGTGAATCTATATCAGACAGAAGCAGAAAAAGTTCTGTAAGAACGTATAAGACCAGTGTGCTAAATAGAAAATGGAAAATGTTAGTAAGTCATTGTAATTACTGTTTTTAGCAGAAAGCTGATCATACAAAATTTCAAGGTTGGCAACATAGGGTGAAAGCTATACGATGAAAGGAAGCATAATTCAAGACATATCACACACAAATATTATGCAGTTCTGTCCAATTTTCAAGAGAACTTTCTTTATTCACGATAAAGTATATCAATATTCTATTTGATAACTCTTATCCAAAAAACAATCCATTTCATAAACCTTGCCTTGCTAAGTTCCAAATATTTTCAATATATTAGAATTGGGTAGTATACAGGCACTGAGCTGTCTCATATAAAAATTAACTTATACACACATTAAAGATAAACTCACTCTTACACTTCATGCATCTAGGGTTAGCAGCTAAATTATACACGCATTTTAAACCTAGATGATTTCATTATCAAACAAGAATTTATTTAATACACCTATGTTTTTCAAAAAACAGACACAACACTATCATAATTTTGGTAGGGTGAAATTAAATTCAGAATTAGCTGTTACATGCATTGACAAGATTACAAACTTGAATCTTTACAATAAGCTTTTGTAAAGGAGAAATTGAACTGATAATACTACCAAAAACATGCAGGTTGTTAATCAAGGAGTTGAAAATATTTCTCGGCCTTCTAGATCATCAAAATAGAAGTTATCTGAAAAATGAAAAATACCATGGACAATTCCACCCAGTTTATTCAATATGTCATGTATCCCAACATATAGCAGATTAAAATAAAGAAAAGTCAGTTCAAAATGTAGCCAGTAGAAAAAAACTTACGGAATAAATACAAGTAACTCAGGATCACCCTCATTGCTCTCCAAGTGGTCCTGTTGAGGCCAAGAGGGCCAAAGAGGATATATTATTATAGGTTAAAGACCAAACTGCAGAAACAATGAATCTTAAAATTTCATATCTAACAACAAAAGTAACTTGAAAAAATGGGGTAGTTCATCACAAAACCGGACTAAACTGGATTGCTGAATATATTACCCCAGAAGAATTCAGACGGTCTTCCCAAGCTTTGAAAACTGATTTAACACTGCCTGGAGTTGCCTCATTCAAAGCTGATACCTGAAAAAAAAAAAAAATAGATTTTTAAATTATGATTATATTTTTTCAATTAAAATAATATTGAGAATACATGTATTTCATAAGCATTCTTAGAGATATATTCAAGTTCAAATATGCACCTAAAGAACCACACTAAAAGCTAACATCATCAAAAAAACAAAAACCTTGGAGAGGTCGATGTGCTTGTAGAGAGACCAGTCAGAGGAACAATCATGGTCTTCGCAACTGTGGTCATGTAAGCACGCCATCTTCTAATTCTTCGCTCGTTTCACACTCAGCTCTCGCGCAACGCAAATGATAATTCCGCGATTCCTTTGTCTTCGATTTGGGTTACCTTACCACACCAGCACCGTTTCACACATCAGTAAAACGACACACAACCTCTTCCGTTTGTTTCCTTTTCGATATTTATAATAAATAAACGACAAGCGTATTCATAATTCATTAATCTCATTATCTGAAAACATTGCGAACAAAAGTAGCCATTTGATTTTCCATTATTCTTCGTATATTAAATTAAATTTTTATTTCTTAAAAGCATTTTTTAAATAATTTATTTTGTACGTTTATTGTTTTTCAAAATCAATATACATTGCTTTTAACTTCTTTTTCATTTTAAATATTTTTTTACTTTTTTTTCATATTTTATATATATTTTAAAATATTTCGTACAATACACATTAGTTACTATATATTTCTTATTTTTAGGACCATCCCAACGGCCCAGTTCTTTTAACTATATAATTTGTGGGAGTTGTTGAGTTATAAAATTATTAATGTAAGAAAAAGAAAGTAAATTTGGGTAGTTCCGTTTGGTAATCGGTCTCATTTATTCGTGGGCTACTTCATTTTCTTTTAAATATAAAACCTATAAAAGTTGTGTAGTGGACCAGTCTGGCGCTGAGCCCATACTTGTGAAGAACCAAGATATTGGGCTGAATCATAAAAGAAGGACTAAACGGCCTCAATACCTTTGGAACAGCTACCCATTTGTCACTTTTTTCTAAAAATATATTTATCTGCTATGTGAATAAGAATTTTTTTTCAAAATGTCACGCATATAAGTTTGTTATAGCAGCGTGTCATATTTTTGGTTGCCACGTAGTTCATTACTGATATTAGCGAATTAGGTGATAAAAAATATTAGTCTTTTCTGAATAAAGGTAGGATACGTGTCAGTTTCTCCCAAATTCGTTGTAACATCTAGCAAACTATAAGTGAGAATAAAAGACACAATGCACGTGTTTCTGCTTTTTATGATTAAATTGCTTTTGTTATTCAACATCATCTTCAATTACTTCATGGCAAACGCTTTTGATACTTTCATATTTTATATTATATTTTTTTATTTCACATCAAATACCAAACGCATTTGGCATTCTTTCTCATAGTTTGCTAGATGGTACAATAAACTTGAAAAAGACTCACATGTGTCCTATTTTTGTTCAAATCATCTAGTTTGCTAGTACTAATAGCAAATTAGGTTAGGGTTTTAGTTTTATCCTTTAACATAACACTACAAACTTTCCTACCCTCACAATATTTTGTGGGACCCACACTTTTTAAAACAAAAAAATAAATAAAAAATTAAGGCTCGCAAAACGAATCTCTATAACATTACACAATCACTTTTCCTATAACATAACTCTTATAAAACCCATTAGGTTATCATGTTAGCCAACAAAGTTCATTACCTACTATAACAAATTTGTATGCATGGTATTTTAAAAAAATTTACTGTTCACATTGCAGTTGAGTAATTTTTTTTGCAAAAATATGGCAAAATGATTACTATTCCAATACCCTTTCCCAGAAACCATTCCCTACACGTTATGTTTAATCAGTCGTCAAAAGTAGAAGTGCTAGTTATTGCGATTAACGACCGAAAGGTTGGTCTACGCTCTACAACAAATTAGAAGAACAAGAGCAACGTTTAGCATGCAAACTAGCCGCTAGCATTCCAATTCCACCAAATGAACATTAATCAAAAAATATATTCGAATTTAATCTAATTTCATCCATAATACACTAAAAATTCAAAATAAATATAAAATATATCAACATTGAAATCAACCATACATTTATCTCAAATTAATTAAAATTAGTGGTTGATAAATCCAAATAAAAAATAAGAAACTATTGAAGAAAAAATAAAAAAATAACAAAATAGAAGTAAAAATTAAATAAAATACTCGGATTTACCCGTAAGTTCATAACCCACAACGAATTATACCAAAATCATCAAAATTATGGGTTGATATATGAGTCGCACGAGTCAATCATGCAGTGGTGGACCCAAGAAATTTTTTTTATGTCCGCACATTTAGTGGCGGGGGTTCGGGGACGGCGTCTCCGAAATATTTTTTTGTAAAAAAAATTTAAATTAACGCTTGAACTGCTCATAATCTAGTTACTTCTATAACAAAGGAGGAAGAAATCATGGGAATGGGTACGTGACACGGGTGGAAGAATAAGTTTTCTCTCTACTCAATTTGCCTTGCTACGTTGTTTTAATCATCTCTGTACGTTGCTACGTTGCTAACTAATATAAGAATAAATATCTTTTTTGGGCCCTAACAAAAAATCTGGTCCCCACTTTAGTCTATTATAAAAAAAATTGTCACTTGGTCCCTATGAAATTTAAAGTGAACTCATTTTAGTCTTTTTAAGGGACTAATGCAGGTCTTTTTTGAATTTGTGAAAGACCACGATTTTAACTAAATTGATCCACTTTGAATTTCTTAGGGACCTCCTCGAGACTAATTTTTGATAAGGGACTAAAGTGAGAACTATATTTTTTGTTAGGAACTTAAAATGATATTTACTCTTAATATAAATATTGAACCAAGAGACAAATAAAGATCTATATAGCTACAAAAAAAAAAAACTAAAATCTTATGTCCACACTTGTGGACATGAGTGCCCACCTAGGTCCGCGAGTGAATCCATGACACAAATAATTCAAGTCATTAACCAAATTTATACACAAACTATTTTATCTAACATGTCATTTTGACTTGTTGTGTGGCAAGTTAATTTGTGAGTCATGACACGTTTTATCATCCATAAAATAATATCTCATAAGTTATTTTTCATCTCAAACACCCAAACCCTGACCCAAAACACGTAAAGAAGCTTATATGTATTAAGAATACGTAAAAGTTACTAAAAATTTTTTTTTAAAAAAAAATTAACGTTTCTATAAAGTTATTTCTTGAAATCACAAAATGGTCATTGTGGGGTTTGAAAAAAAAAATAGGGGGTATTTAATAAAATACATGATACACAAGGAAAGTAAAATTATTAAAATACCTTTTATTATTTCCCTAAACTTTAAAATGACGTCATTTTGAGGATCTTAGAGATAACTTTATATCCTGATACAGGATAAACATATTAAAAATAGAAATAAAATAAAAAACAAACCAAACCAAACATTCCGATCTATTTGGTTTAGAGAAATACTTTTTTTATTCTTATTATTTAATAATTATAACACTGTCACATTATTCTCATTTTGTTTCTTATTATTTTTAAAAAAATCATTTTTCAACATTTTCTATACAAATATTTGAAAAAACTAAAAAAAATAACATTTTTAAATTATGACTAAAAAAATAAAGTATGAATTTTTTAAATTAGATATTTTTATTTTTAAAAAATAAATAATAATGAAAATTAATATAATATATTATTTAATAATTATTAATAATTTTTTAATATAAAAGAGTTGAATTACCTAGCAGTTGAAGATTGTTCTTGATTCTCGGGGCTGAGCACGTAGCCAATTAGTTCAACGTGTTAAAACGTCTTGTGTCTTGAAATTTCAAACTTGTTAAAAACCTCTTTTGTCAAACTTCTGTTCCATTTTTATTTATTTATTTGTTTTTGTCAAACTTTTGATATCAACTATATTGATAAATATTTAATAAATAAAACAGTCAGAAAGCACGTTTTATATTGAAAAATACACTTCATCTTTAGCAAGTAAGTGGGATAATTAAATATGCATGTAATCTTTATTTTGTCCAGCAAATTGATATCAACTACATGTGATAATATCGGACATGTTCAAGACAGTATATAATTTTATGAAAATCAAAGATGGATTTAATTTAGAAACATTGACTTCTTTCTTTACATAAATTTAACAACATATTACGTGATGCCTAGGCATGGAAATGGGTTGCATATACTTAATATATAATACGATTGATATAAATTAAATTTGACGTATTTTTATAGTACAAGGCATGAGACTAACGGTTACTTCACATAGTCTTTTTTGTTTTTGATTAGCTTTAACTTGGTCTTCTTAAAAGTTTGATAGAACCTAAGAGCCTATTAGAATACATTAGGCCTTTAAATTTACCAATAACAACTCTAAATAAGTTATTTAAAAAACACCTATAAGTTAGCTTAGAAAAAAAAGGAGAGACAGAGAGTTAAAGAAGACTGCATAGATAGAAGGCCGCATTTTTTTTTAATTAACGTATACTTTTGTTAAAAAAAAATCATATTATATACAAAATTAGTTATATTATTTATATGATAAGAATTAGTATATGTAGTTATATTATTTATATGATAAGAATTAGTATATGTATATATTAAGGGGGTATATTGGATTAATATTTTAAAAGACTATTTTAAGATAAAAAAATCTTGTAGATTATAAAAAACTATCTAGAATTGTAGTGATTTTATAGACTTTTTTAAAATACTTTTTTTATAAATATTTTATAAGATTGAATTTTAAAAGATCTTAATAGAATTTATACGATTTGAAAAACAATATGGATGTATAAGATTTTAAAAAATCATATAAATTTTTAACAAACATTCAAAATTACAAGAGCCAATAAAAAACAAAGAAATGCAATGATATTAATAAAAAAAATAAAACCTAATATAATTTTCTCAATCAGTAATTTGATATAACTTAATGTCTTACTAAGCGAAAGCTCTCCATATATCTATACTATTCCTCCATGTATTAACAAATGAAAATTATCTTCTTCATTTGGTATTAAAGCTATGCATATATGATTATAAGATCCACATTTTTTTATTTATTAAAATAATTCAAAATTTGCATCTAGAATCTATAGTTCATGATAAAATTTTGTTTGAAATTTTTTGCTATTGATCTTGGAAACCTTGGGATTTTGTTTTACGTGATGATAGTTTTTTTTTTTTTATAGACACGTGATGATAGTTTTCTAACCATATATCATATGCATGTTTTCATTGAGTATTCTAAGAAAATTTTGAATATGAATTTGTAGATTTTATTACATGAAAATTTAGAAAATTTCTCAAATTATGTTTGATCAATACATTAAAATCTTAAATTGCTTTGGGACTTTTGAAAAACAAGTTTTTAGTGATTTATTGACATAAAAATTGTTCGAAATCGTTTCCTATAACGAAGGAATTTCGTTCATGGTTGTATTGTTACGAAACATAAGGTTCATATTATGAAAGTTTCAATCTTTTTAAATTGATCTCGTTTCACTTATGTAAAACGGAAATTGATTTGGATTTTTTGTTCCCCTGTTATTTTTTCACCCTTTTATGTTATTTTAATACAAAATTGCACCTTTTTGAGCCAAGAAAAATCATCACCCATAGCTTGAAAAATTATTATTTTCAAAGCGCTAAAAAATGGCTAAAAAAACTACTATTTTTGAGATGGATTAGATTAGAATCTTGTTGTTCTGATTTGTTTGTGATGAAAATCGCTCAAAAATATGTTGTTTTTAAGCTTTGAAGAAGCTCCAATGGCGGGACCCAGTTTTGAGCGAGTTGACCCGCCAAAGGAAGAAGAAGCACTATAATAGAGAAATCTCAAGAAATTTTAGGGGTTATGGTAAGATTGTGAGAGAGGCATCATATTTATACTTCTCACTAAAAAGTCTCACGAAATCTATACTAATAAAAAATGGGGCAGGATATACTTACCACCAAAATTTTTTATCACATTTACAACAACCTAATCACCGTTGATTTTCATCAATCTAAAGGTTATAATTTATTGGATTTAATGAGAATTAATAATTAATTAATAAATACGATCCAATAATTTTCAATAAATTATAACCGTTAGATTGACGGAAATCAACGGTGATTAGGTTGGTTGTAAAGGTGGTAAAAAAATTTTGTGGTAAGTATATCATTTCCCATAAAAAATTCTCTAAAATCGTCAGATTTTTAAATACCACAAGATTATTTTTCCTTTATTTAAAATTCTGATTGAATACCACCAGATTTGGATGGACTTCAAAATAATTTTTTAAAATCTTAAATAAATACCAATGTATTTTTTTACCCAAAAATAATCCATTAAAATCCTTTAAAATCTCAATCCAATACACTCCTAAAGTTATAATATATATTTAAACATGATGGTTGATCAAATCTAAAGATTTTTTCAAAAGTTCAAAATGTGACCTCTTTAACTAAATAAGTCTGAACTTAAATTTTTTATAAAGTCAAATTAGGCCAAACTTTAAATAAACTTGATATTATCTGACTTGTTTTTATTTGTAATCATGTTATTAAATAAGCTTAATAAGCTTTGACCATATCAACTATTTTAAAAGTTCAAAATCTTTAAATAATATTTGAAACGCCTAACTTGACGAGTAGTGTAAAAATTTTTATATTGATACATGCATCATCAGAATTAAACACATGGACTATACATGCGATCTTTTTTCTGAAACTATATATTTTTATCATAAATTGACGGCTAACTAAACGGCAGGCCACGAAATATTGAAATTGAATATATATGAAGTACGGGTCTCTAGCTTTGACATTCTTGATGAAAAGATAATATAAAATATTTAATGTACATTAATTAGTTGATAAATGGAATCAATATTAATTCTATCTATATGTGCTTTTCAGGACCTATTTACTTTGGTATTAATTAGAACTTCCTCGGACTTGAAAAGAATAGGCGCATACGATATAAATATAGGGATTTATTAATGTTATGTTACATAACATAAGTTTTGTTTCCAACACTCACAATAAAAAGAAGAGAGAAAATTGAATAATGAAAGAGAAAGAAAAACATATGGACTCCACCTTTTTAATGTGTGTGTAGAAAAATGAAGTTATGTTATGTAATATAATAAACATAAAACCCATAAATATATTACGATATAAATATTATAATATATATATATATATATGTGTGTGGTAGGATCCTTTGACACCAGTGTCAAATTTGAAATTTGACATCTTATCTGAGAGTCATTAGATCAAAAAATATCAACGACACTGATTTGTAAGCATATGACACCGTTGATCCTTTTTTATCTAACGGCTCTCAGATGAGGTGTCAAATTTCAAATTTGATACTGGTGTCAAAGGATCCTACATATATATATATATATATATATATATATATATATGGGCTTAACATTTCTGCAGCTGCCGTAGATAGTGTTATCTACAGCTGACACAAAAAAGTGGGCCCCACAGCTTTTAAAAAAAAAAAAAAACTCAGGATCCGGTGCCGTATCCTAGGATCCGGACGCGGATCCTTGCTTGCTGTAGGTACAGCAGCTGCAGAAATCATTTTGCCTATATATATATATATATATAGAGGTAGGATCCTTTGACACCAGTGTCAAATTTTAAATTTGACACCTCACCTAAGAGACATTAGATCAAAAAATATCAACGACTCTAATTTGTAAACATGTGACACCATTGATATTTTTTAATCTAATGGCTCTCAGATAAGGTGTCAAATTTGAAATTTGACACCAGTGTGTGTCAAAGGATCCTGCCTCATATATATATATATATATATATATATATATATATATATATATATATATATATATATATCTCAAATATTTGCCATATATACATGAAAATATTAAATGTGGAGAATCATAACCATGAAAGAGGAAATTATTAAAAGTAGGTAATCATAACCATACATCTATAACTTTTGTACTTGACGCGGCTGTAGAAATGATTTTACCTATATATATATATATATATATATGTGAGAAAAATATTTTTCAAGTTACTTGAGATAACTTTATCTCTGGCTACCAAATCATAATCATAACCGTAGATCAATGGTGATAAAGGAAAAGAGAGAAAAAGGAAAATCATAATCATTCAAAGGTGAATCAATAAGTAATAAATATAAGAAAATAAATAAACAAAACGACATAATTTTTTGGTAAAGAGAGATAAACATATTTTAAGCTACTTGAGAAATATTTTTCTCATATATGTATATATGTGTGTGTGAGAAATATACTTCTCCTTTCATTGCAGATTTTTTTTTTATGGAGCAATTGATTTTAACTATGTATTACGGTACTGCATAGTATTTTTTCTTTCTTCGGCTGATAATGTTTGAAGAGTAAAAAAAATAATTTTATTATTATAACTACGTATTAATCGCCGTGTATATAGTTGTATAAATTCTCGTCAATACAATGAATGTAAGGTGTGCTTAGAAGAAGAAGGAATGGCATCGTCTGAAGCAGCAAGATCTGAGAGATCTCAACCAGTGTTGAGTGTCCAGGAGCTCATGAAGAAACCGCTGACATCAATTCCTCAACGTTATATTCATCTAGACAGTCATGAACCTTCAGCTTTCCAAGATGAAACCTTTTGTAGTGCAATGATCCCAACCATCAACCTGAAAAAAATGATTCATGGAGAAGCTACAGAACTTGAACTAGAGAAATTGAACTCAGCTTGTAGGGACTGGGGTTTCTTTCAGGTTCACAAGTGATCACCTTTTATAGAAAGAAATTCATGTTATTCATTCTATATTGTTATGTGTTTCAATTTATTTGTGTCTAGATAATTGATTTCTTTCTTCTTATATGGTCAAATGGATCAACCTATATATATATATATATATATATATATATATATATATATATATATATTTTAAATGTATAATTTGTTCCAAAATCCTCTTCTTTTTCTGAATTTATATATACTTTATGCAGTTGGTGGACCATGGAATCAGCACACCAGTGTTGGAAACGCTTAAGGATGAGATTGAAGAATTCTTCGGGCTTCCCTTGCAAGAAAAGATGAAGTACAAGATAAGGCAAGGTGAAGTTGAAGGTTACGGAGCTGTGATAAGATCAGAGGATCAAAAACTTGATTGGGGTGATAGGTTCTATATGATGACCAATCCTCTTAATAAAAGAAAACCATATCTTTTCCCGGACCTTCCTTCATCACTCAGGTATTTGGGGTGATAGCTAGGTTCTACATGAATAATATATTGATCACTTGACCTATATGTATATGTATATATAATATTCTCAATTAAACATGCAGGACTATCTTAGAATCATACACTGCAGAGTTGCAAAATGTTGCTATGATACTTGTGGGGTTGATGGGAAAAGCCCTGAAGATAGATAAGAGAGAGTGGGAGGTGTTTGAAAACGGGATGCAATCTGTGAGGATGACATATTACCCTCCATGCCCAAAACCAGAGCTTGTTATGGGCTTCCCTGCTCATTCAGATGCAACAGGAATCACCATCCTTAACCAAGTGAATGGAGTGCATGGCCTCCAGATTAAGAAACATGGGATTTGGATTCCAGTGAAAATCATCTCAGATGCTTTCATTGTCAATATTGGGGACATTCTGGAGGTTTGTCATCATCCTCACTTTCATATTCCCTAATATGCACACCCATACTCATTCCACATGGGAATGAATTATCTAATGTCACATGCATAGACCTTATATGAAATGATCCCAATAATGCATAGACAAATCAACTTATCCTTTTTCATATTTTTTTTTATCACATTTTCTTTAATTTGTTTATTAACAACTGAGATAAATTCCTTATCTGCTTTTTAACATGTATAAATGGTTGGATTTTGGGAGAGATTGGAGGTAGCAAAGTCAACTACTATTTCTACACTAGAACCAAGTACTTTCCGAATTATAAATGAAGGGAAGGAGGGTGATATTTTCATTTTTGTCATAGAAAAATCTTAAAGACGCACTCTTATGACTAAATTAATTTTTCACGTTCTTAATATAATTGAGGTAAAAAGCATAATTCTTTAATTACTAATAAAAATGTTTGGTTTCTCATTTGGAAGTCTAAAATCATAATTTGAATTTTATTTATAAAAAATAAGTTTTTATCCAAATCATAGTTTAATGCTTTTCTCAACAGAAAACTAAACATGGAGTAAGTCAATCCCTTAAATTAGGGAAGGGATTGACAGTTGACACCTTATATATAATCGAGATAATGACTAGTATGTTGTGTCAATATACCATTAAATAATATTGTAAAAATTCTACATTAATATTGAAAAAAAATTGAAATTCATAAAGTTAAAATTGCAAACATTATATTTATGAGTAAAGGATTTTTCCGGTCAATGGAAATAAGTTATCTCCGGTAAGTCCAAAACGACGTCGTTTTGGGACGAAAATCAAGGTGTTTTTGTAATTATAATATATTGCAGGGTTATATTAGTCTTTATCATTATAAATTTTTAATCTTATAACCTCAAAACGACGTCGTTTTGAGCTCACTGGAGATAACTTTATCTCCGGTGACTGGAGAAATACTTTTCTCTATGTTTATATATATATATATATAGGGTTCGCTTTTTCTGCAGTAAATTCAATACGACGTCGTTTTGGGACGGAAATAATGGTATTTTGTAATTTTAATTTATTTCAGGGTTATAATAGTCTTTATATTTATAATTTTTTAAGATTTCAATACCAAAACGACGTCGTTTTGGAAATAAATGCAGATAACTTATCTGCATTAACTGCAGAAACATTTTTCCCATATATATATAGGGAAAAACATTTCTCAAGTTGCTTGAGACAATGTTATCTCCGGCCACCCCAAAACTACGTTGTTTTGTTTATTTATTTCCTTATATTAATTGATTCACCTTTGAATGGTTATGATTTCATTTTTCTTTCTCTTCCTTTATCACCATTGATCCATCTTTGTACGGTTATGATTTAGTAGCCGAAGATAACATTATCTCAAACAGCTTGAGAAATGATAAGCTCATATATATATATATATATATATATATATATATATATATATATATATATATATATATATATATATATCAAGGTTCGTTTTTTCTGTAGTTACTGCAGATAAGTTATCTGCAGTAAGCCTAATACGATGTCGTTTGGGGGCGGAAATTATGGTATTTTTGTAATTTTAATTTATTTCAGGGTTATTATAGTCTTTATGATTATAATTTTTTAATATTTCAATCCCAAAACGACATCATTTTGAGAGTAAATGCAGATAACTTATCTGTAGTAACTGCAGAAATATTTTTCTGATATATCAATTATGAGGTAGGATCCTTTGACATCAGTGTCAAATTTGAAGTTTGACATCTCATCTGAGAACCGTTAGATAAAAAAAGATCAACGATTCTGATTTGTAAGCATGTGGCATTGATCTTTTTTGATCTAACGACTCTCAGATAAGGTGTCAAACTTTAAATATGACACTGGTATCAAAGGATCCTACCTCATAAATTATATTTTTTGCTGAACAATGAGAATTATACACCAGTCAATTAAGATATGATTATATGATAATATGATTTTGGCTTTAATCCTTAATATACAAAAAATGAAAAATTATAGAACAAAGCTTTTACAACCAAAAGATAAATCTAGGGAAGAAAACCAGAATTATTATTTGATTTAGGAAAGAAATCTTCATCTCGTGATTAACAGAATGCTTCCATCCACTTCAGATTCTTTCAGTTAGAATAAATATTCAATTTAAAACACGTGTAAAAATTGAAATGATAAGAAATACATCTTCTAAAATCAAATAAGCTGCGTTGACTTTTAACGAGATTCTCGAAACCATGAATGCAGACACCCCATTTTACTTTATATTATATACAATAATACGAAAAGCCTTCTACTTTACTTTTCAGCCGGTTTTATAATAGTTTGTGACCTTTGAAACTTGAAAAAACAATGTGCATAACTTTGAGTAAATCTGAAGGAAGATTAGTGCAATTGACTAAAAATAAAAGAGAAAAGACTGAACAAAAAAATATTCCAAAAATAAAATGATTGTTTTTGTGGAAAGATAATAAAGTGATTTGATTTGGAATATAATAAAGAATGCTCGAATTTGCAGATTATGAGCAATGGGGCATATAAAAGTGTTGAGCACAGGGCAACAGTGAATTCAGAAAAGGAAAGGATCTCTATTGCTATGTTCTTTCTCCCCAAGTTTCAATCTGAGATTGGACCTGCAATTAGCCTCACAAACCCAGAAAATCCCCCTTTGTTCAAAAGGATTGGAATGGAGAAATATGTCAAAGATTACTTCACTCGTAAGATGGATGGAAAGTCGTACTTGGAGCATATGAGAATCACTGATCAAAATGTTACCGACACCACAGTTTAGCACCTAGGATGGCTAGCTTGTTTTCTTTTTTTTGTTGGGTACAAGGGTGTCTAGCTTGTTATATGTATACATATGCGTGTATATGTTGGGCAATGTCATGACAAAAAAAATAATTTTTTGGGCAATGATTATTGATGCATGAGTATGGTGTCATATGGGACAGTACTAGTTTGGCAGATTATTTGTACTCTCCATGCTATACCACCCTACATTCACACGCATAGGCTTTCATGAAATGAACTAAATAATAATGATCAATAAATGGAAACCATTCATTATAATAAATAGACATAGGATATTATTACTATTATCAATATTATTATTAATTTATTTTACCATTAGATAGATTATATTGATCCAATGATTATATTTATTTTCACTTTTGTATGGTTACGATTTCTCATATTTAATGTGAAAGCATTAAATATGAGAAATTATAATCCAATAAAGATGAAAATAAATATAAAATATTAAATATAGAAAAAAAATATTTTTATAAAGTTAAATCGGAACCATTGAATCAACATAATTGATCTAATAATGAAATAAACTGATAATGATATCGAGAATAACAATATTCTATCTCTAATAAATATAGAGCTTCAGTTTTCTTATGTGAGCACTGATAAACGAGTTTTTTTCATTATTTTTTAAAAGAAAAAGAAAACTCAATTTTTGATCTATCAGCAGGAAACACTATTCATCCTTCCAGCTGCATAAAAATAGAATTTCTCATAAATATATTAATATAATAGTTGACATAACTTAACCTCTTTGTTTATCTTTATTTAAAAAATAACACATATCATTCTTAACATTTTTTAAAAGAATTTAAATTTAAATTATTTTATATTTATTATACATATATTCTTCGTATACTTTTTTTTGGAGTTAACCTAAAGGTGAATTGGTTTCTTTTCCTATATTCCCACAAGCTTTGAGCTAGTTATAGGACTAATCCAGAGTATAGGGCGAGTCATGAATAAAGATATTTAAATCACTCTCAAATGTAACATGTGAGAATTGAACCTACACTATCTTTCTTTCCACTTACTCAGCTCCTTTGCTAGAGCTACCACTATTTGGTATCATACACATTTTCTTTAGATTCTATTTGAATTATATCTATATATACCGAAATATAAAAACAACTGTGCATTACATAGACTTACTAGTGAATATATCAAAATGAAAAACTAAAAATGAAATGTAATAGGGAGATTAGAAATAACAGTTTTAAAATAGAATTTCAACGAAAAAATTTAGGAGGTTGGCAATGGACTATATAAATAGTATCGATCTTTTTAGAAGGTCAACATACATAAATTCCTTTCACATACACGGAAAACACACAATAGAGCACGTTTGATTTATGTTTTACAGAACAATTTTTTAATTTTAAAAATAAAAAAACAAAAAAAGTGGTTTGATAACGAGTATCCTTTTTTAGTTTTTTAAACAGGAAATAGAGAACATCTATTAGATGTTTTTGTTTTGATTTTTTATTTTCAATTCTGGAAATAAGGAAAATATGAAGAACTGAACACGGGGAACTGTTTTCATTAATGACAAACTTGTAATTATTAGTGAAACCCACAATACTAGAGTTTGATAATGAAACATGGAATAACTTGAGTTTTATATTTGTTATGTTACATGATGTAATATAACTTTCCTACACACATAATTGAGAAGAGAGAGAAGAGAGAAGAAATGAGAGAGAAAAATCAAAGGACGAGACCCACGTAAAATTATGTGTGTAAGAAAGTTATGTTACATCATGTAACTTAACAAACATAAAACCCATAACTTTTTCAGTACCCAAACTTTTCCAACCCTATGCAACGTGACTCGCTGTTATCTAACAAATTAATAGACAACTTTCAAAAACTATAGAGGTGGAGCTAAGCTGCCTTCCCTTACTTTTGAAAATGGATTGAAAAACTTGGCTCACTTTGTCAGATCGGGTTAGGCAGGTTATAAAACTTGGACCAAACAGGATGGATTGGTCTGTCAAGTCGAGCACGTTTTGCTGTCCTTCACTTGCCAATGAATATATGTTATAAAGAAGATATATGTTATAAAGAAGATATTCATAAAAAAATATGTTATTCTTAAAAATTTTTAAAAGGAAATCATTAATTGAATTTAAGAAGAAAATTTTTACCAATCAAACAAGTTTTTTATTTTTTACTCTAAAAACATATATTTAGAAAAAAATTATCAAATTTTTTTATTTTTATTTTTATTTTTTAACTTTTAAAATTATTTTCAAAATAAATTTACAAAACAGATTTTTTTTTTCTTTTTATACTCTGAAAATGAATTTTTAAAAACTATCCTACAAAATAATTTTCAAAATAACAAAAATCAAACGCGTAAGTTACTCCCTTACAATTACAAGTGCGTAACCATGCATTTAAATAGGATCTGAATTCGCACCTGACTCTTTGTTTTTTTTTTTGTTTTTTTTTTTTAATTTATTCACACCTGACTCTTGTCTTCTCTTTTTCTTGTCTTGTTTTTTTTTTTCCTACGTGAAAGGTTAGGTGCATTGTGCTCCTAACCTCTTCACCATGGCTGAAAAAACAGATGCACAAGAAGAAGCACGCAAGCCCAAAGTCGTGGAAAAAGTCCCATTTTACAAGCTTTTCTCTTTTGCAGATCGTCTTGATGTGACTTTGATGATCATTGGCACGATCTGTGCCGTGGCTAATGGGTTTTCTCAGCCTCTCATGACTCTCATTTTTGGGAAGCTTATCAACACCTTTGGCACCACCGATCCATCACACATTGTAAAGGAAGTTGCTAAGGTATATAATCAAATCCACCCATTTGGCCTTGACAATGAATATTTACTTTTCCATTAACAAAGGTTTTGTTTGCAAACGATCTTATATGTTTGTCTCACTGGCACTTCAAATTTCAGGTTTCATTATTATTTGTTTACCTGGCTATTGGCTCTGGAATAGCCTCATTTCTACGTAAGATATTGCTTCTTCTTTCTTTTTTTGTTCCCCCCCCCCCCCCCCCCCCCCCAGTTTTCTGCATATTTATTTGTTTATTTGAGTTGAGTCTTTCAAGATATATATATAATTGCATGCAGCATTAATGTGATATATATGATGGTGATTTTGTTGAATGGTGCAGAGGTATCATGTTGGATGGTGACAGGAGAAAGACAAGCTGCGAGGATCCGTGGCTTGTACTTGAAAACTATATTAAAGCAGGACATTGCCTACTTTGACACTGAAACAACAACTGGTGAGGTCATTGGAAGAATGTCTGGTGACACCATTCTCATTCAAGATGCCATGGGAGAAAAGGTATGCTCCTTTCTATTATACACGGTACATATGTTGAGTTATATAAAATCATTAATGTAACTTCACCCAATAACTTAAGTTTTTGAGTTGAATTGGTTCTTTACATTCTTTGCATGGTATTAGAGCTTCAGTGACCATAAGGACATGAGTTCGATTCTCACCGCCCCCACTTTCTAGTAGAATTAAATAAAAGCATAAAAAGGTAAACCAAAAATTAGGCCCGTGCATTATGTCGTCACCCAACACCTTAAGGTTTTGGGTTGAGGTGGTTCTTTACATGGTATCTAGTGGAATTTCTTTCTTCCCACAAGTAGGTGGGCCTGTACATTGTCCATCCTTCAAGCCCAGTGGACTCTCGTATAAGGGGACATGTTGAGATATATAAAATTATTAATGTAACCTCGCCCAATAGCTTAAGCTTTTGGGTTGAATTGGTTCTTTATAACGTACATGATCTCAGTATTAAGTAGGTCTCTCTGATTTAAACAGAAGTTGACAAGGATTTTTACCAATAAATAAATAAAAGAAGAAGAAGGAAGAGAACTGACTAGAAGTTAGTTAATGGCAGGTTGGGAAGTTTCTACAGCTTGTTTCCGCCTTTGTTGGTGGCTTCGTGATTGCCTTTACAAAAGGATGGGAACTATGTCTAGTTTTGCTTGCATGTATTCCTGCAATTGTTATTGTTGGTGGAGTTATGGCCATGATGATGGCGAAAATGTCAAGCCGTGGACAAACTGCTTATGCAGAAGCCGGAAATGTTGTAGAACAAACAACTTCAGCCATTAGAACAGTAAGACACACAAATCAACTATGGATAACTTAGCATGCGTAGCTTTTATATTTAACTCTTGTTCTTGACTTCTTCCTGATGTTTAACCAGGTTGCTTCTTTTACTGGTGAGAAAAAAGCAATAGATAGTTATCAAAACAAGTTGAGAATTGCTTATACCACAACGGTTAAACAAGGGTTGACCTCAGGGTTAGGAATGGGAGTACTTTTGCTGATTGTCTTTAGCACCTATGCACTTGCCATGTGGTATGGTGCCAAAATGATCATTGAGAAAGGATACAATGGTGGAAACGTCTTCAATATAATCATTTCAATTAATACTGGCGGAATGTAAGTGAGACATGGTTTTTCTTTTAGTCTGTAGAGCCTTGTTTATGTTTGATAATTGATACTCATCATGCTTTGATTGGCATAATGTTAAACTAGGTCACTCGGTCAGACAACCCCATGCCTGAATGCATTTGCATCAGGCCAAGCAGCAGCATATAAGATGTTAGAGACAATTAAAAGAAAACCAGAGATTGATGCTTATGACACCAGTGGTGTTGTCTTGGAAGACTTGAAGGGAGATATTGAACTCAAGGATGTTTGCTTCAGATACCCTGCTAGGCCAGATGTGCAGATCTTTGCTGGATTCTCATTCTATATTCCAAATGGCACAACTGCTGCTTTAGTGGGTCAAAGTGGCAGTGGGAAGTCAACTATAATCAGTTTATTGGAAAGATTCTATGATCCTGATTCTGGAGAAGTACTTATAGATGGTGTGAACTTGAAAAAATTTCAAGTTAGATGGATAAGAGAACAGATTGGGCTTGTTGGTCAAGAACCTGTCCTGTTTACAGCCAGTATCAAAGAGAACATAGCATATGGTAAAGAAGGTGCAACAGATGAGGAGATAACAACAGCAATAACGCTTGCCAATGCCAAAAAGTTCATTGATAAACTGCCTCATGTATATAACAAACTCTTTTACTCAGGATATAAATATAAACACTCTTATCTTACACAAGTGATCCCAGTTTTAGGTTTCATTCTTTTATTCTGAAGCTAAAAAAAAAATTGTATCATTCTGTTTGCAGGGCCTTGACACTATGGTAGGAGGGCATGGGACTCAACTTTCTGGTGGCCAAAAGCAAAGAATTGCTATTGCAAGGGCAATTTTGAAGAATCCAAGAATCCTCCTTCTTGATGAAGCAACTAGTGCATTGGATGCTGAGTCTGAACGTATTGTTCAAGAAGCATTAGATAAAGTTATGTCAAACAGGACTACTGTAATTGTTGCTCATCGTTTGACAACTATTAGAAATGCTGACACCATAGCTGTGGTTCATCAAGGGAAAATTGTGGAAAAAGGTTATAAAATTGAACCAACTGTTTCAATTCTCTTCATCAACCACAGCTTTGATATACATATATATATATATATATATGTGTGTGTATGATTACCATGTTTAGTACGTACAGCTATCTATATATGAAATCATAGTTTTGATATTATTCCTGTATATATGTATGTAGGAGCTCATGATGAGTTAATAAAGGATCGTGATGGTGCTTATTCTCAGCTTATTCGTCTACAAGAAGGAGCTAAGGAAGCAGAAGGAAGCCGTAATTCTAATGCAGATAAGTCAAAAAACAGTTTTAATTTAGATAGTCTCACGGTTAAATCTTCAACCAGGAAAACATCAATGAACAGATCAATGAGCCGAGGTTCATCAGGCAGTAGACAATCTCTGTCACTACTTGCCTTTTCTCTTCCTCATCAAATTCCTGTAAATGAGTCTGGAAAAGAAGATGCCAATGATCTTGAAAGTAGTGAAGTTGATAATGTGAAACGCCAAAATGTTTCTATTAAACGTTTGGCACAGTTGAATAAGCCTGAGGTTCCTGTCTTAATACTTGGATCCATTGCTGCAGCAGTTCATGGTGTTGTTCTCCCTGTATTTGGCCTCTTGCTTTCATCAGTTATCAATACGTTCTATAAACCTCCAGATAAGCTTAAGAAAGAATCTGAGTTTTGGGCACTTCTATTTCTTGGTTTGGGTTTTATTACTCTGGTGGCTATACCAGTGCAGAACTACTTCTTTGGGATTGCTGGTGGAAAACTTATAGAAAGAATTCGTTCAATGACATTTCAAAAGGTTGTGCACCAAGAAATCAGCTGGTTCGATCATCCTGAAAATTCAAGGTATGTTAATGTGATGATACTTACTTCCAATAATGAAAGAGAAAATAGAGACACATTCATTGTCAAATGTTAATAATTCCTTTTAACTCATCCTGAAAATTCAAGGTATGCAAATGTGGTGATACTTTCTTCCAATAATGGAAGAGAAAATAAAGACACATTCATTGCCACATGTTAATAATTCCTTTAGCTCATCCATCTAACTCAAAGAAATGAATGGATTGCCTTGTAGTGGTGCGGTTAGTTCAAGGTTAGCTACTGATGCTTCAACAGTGAGAACTCTTGTTGGTGACACCTTGGCCCTCATTGTACAAAACATAGCAACAGTCACAGCAGGTGTAGTTATGGCATTCTCAGCTAATTGGATTCTCGCTTTGGTAATTCTGGCTGTGTCACCCTTGTTGCTCATGCAAGGATACCTTCAGACCAAGTTTCTAAAAGGATTCAGTGCCGATGCAAAGGTTAGCCTTAAATTCAGTTTTGTGGGTTTCAACAATAGAAAGTACTCTTATATTTATATATTGTGGATATAACAAGAATCATTTGTATTTTATAGTCGAAGTATGAAGAGGCAAGTCAGGTGGCTAATGATGCTGTTGGCAGCATTAGAACCGTTGCATCATTTTGTGCTGAACCAAAGGTGATGAATATGTACCAGCAGAAATGTTTAGGGCCAGAAAAACAAGGTGTTAGGTTGGGGGTTGTCAGTGGTATAGGATTAGGTTTCTCTTTCTTTGCTCTGTACTGCACAAATGCTTTCTGTTTCTACATAGGAGCAATTCTTGTGCAACACGGGAGAGCAACTTTCGGAGAGGTTTTCAAGGTACATATATCACTTTGGAATGCCCACCTTTTTTTTATCTTTCTTATGAACTGGTTCTTAAATTCAATCCAAAAGCTTAAGTTGTTAAGTGAAGTTCATGTTAATGGTTATAGATGCTCTAATATAAGGTAAATAACTAATTAAATTTAAAAGCTTAAGTTATTAGATGATTGTGATGTTAATAATTTTATATTATATTTTAGTAACACTTATTGTTTTATTGCAGGTTTTCTTTGCTTTAACAATAACAGCTGTTGGTGTTTCCCAATCTAGTGCCTTGGCACCAGATACTAACAAGGCCAAAGATTCTGCAGCTTCAATATTCCAAATTCTCGACAGCAAACCTAGTATTGACTCGAGCAGCGATGAAGGCTTGACACTAGAAACCATGAAAGGTGAAATTGAACTTGAAAAGGTCAACTTTAAGTACCCAACAAGGCGTAATATTCAAATTTTCGAAGACATGTGTCTAAGCATCCCAGCTGGAAAGGTAAATATTACATTAGTATTCTAACAATTAAGCTTTTGGGTTCTACAAACCAACTTATTTGAGAATTATGTGATGTAATTACAATGTTTATATATATATGTGTGTGTGTCTATGTAGACTGTTGCCTTGGTTGGAGAAAGTGGCAGTGGAAAATCAACAGTTATCAGCCTCTTGGAGAGATTTTATGACCCTGATTCTGGACGTGTATTTATAGATGGAGTGGATATCAGAAAGTTCAAACTAAGCTGGTTGAGGCAGCAAATGGGTTTGGTTGGTCAAGAGCCTATTCTTTTCAATGAAAGCATTCGTGCCAACATAGCTTATGGCAAAGAAGGAGGTGCTACCGAGGATGACATAACTACAGCAGCACAAGCAGCCAATGCACACAAGTTCATAAGTTCTCTACCAAATGGTTATGACACCCCAGTTGGAGAAAGAGGCACACAATTATCAGGAGGACAAAAGCAACGTATTGCCATTGCAAGAGCCATGCTCAAAAACCCCAAAATCCTTTTGCTTGATGAGGCAACAAGTGCACTTGATGCAGAGTCAGAGCGTATAGTTCAAGAGGCTCTAGACAGAGTGAGTAAGAACAGAACTACCATTGTGGTAGCTCACCGTCTTGCAACAATTAAAAATGCTGACATCATAGCAGTGGTGAAAAATGGATCCATTGCTGAGAAGGGAAGACATGATGAGTTGATGAAGCTTGATGGTGGAAATTATGCTTCATTGGTAGCACTCCATATGAGTGCAACATAGGAAGGAAAAAAAATAAAATGTTGTTGCCTCCTAAGGAGGAATGAAAGGTCAAACTATGCAAAGTGGTTGAACACCTTCTAACGCTTGGGCTAACTTCTTATTATTCTTTTATGAAAGATTCTTTTGTAAACCTAGTATATATATACGCAACTTGAGTTTACAAAATTAGTGAAGTATTGAAACATTATTGATACATTAATTAAATAACATTTGTTTCAAAAAAACTAATGATGTTCCATTATTTTATTACATATTATTGTTATTTGGCTTTTTCATCAGATGCTCATTCCTCTAGTTGTAAAGACTTTTTTATTTTTTTTAGTAATCTCAAGAGTATCTTCTAGCAGTAACCGAAGACTAATTCCTATCGAGCACTGTCGAACCTTTTCGGGAGCAGCTCTTCCAAATTCTTTTTTTTCGTTTCAAGGATTCGAACTCGAGACCTCAGGGGCTCAGACTCCTTATCACCTGTGCCAAAGGAGTTTGATAATTGTAAAGACTTTAGATTAGGAACATAGAAGGTAGGTTTGATCTGATTCACATGCCTGTCAGATCGGACGATGTTTCATCTAAACAATAAGTTTGTCTATTTTTCGAACTTAATAGATGAGAACTGATTTATAAGTTTCACTCACGGTTGGCATGTTACGTGATTCAAGCATAGAAAGCACTTAGGCATGAAAGGGGTGTGTGTGTGTAAATTGTGTAGGTATTTATCTTTGTTAATTTATGTTTAAAATTTTAGAAACCGTTGGACTACATCCATTGTGTGAATTAACCCTTGAGTTTTAAATGAGTGTAAACTAGGGAAAAAAATTAAAATATTATTATTTTAATAAAAATTTATAAAAACATAGCATTTTCTAACTTATTTACGTATTTATTATACTCAGTCTCGCCCAAATAAGGCGAAACCACTCTTGCCCAAATAAGGCGAGACTCCCTTGTGAAACTCGCTCGAAAAAGGCGAGACCTGGCTGGCCTGTATAAACTCTTTTTTTTCACTTTTTCCATTTCACACCATCTCTCTAAGACTTTTCTCTAGATTTCTCCTTGAGTTTTTTGTGCAGCGAAGCTCTGCCAGTCAAGTATGTCTTAATATCTACTTTCTATATTATTTAATTACAACAATAGATATCTTATACTAGTGACCTAGGACATTGTTAGTGACTTAGAAAATTGTTAGTAAATAGAAAATTGTTAGTGACCTAGAAAATTGTTAGCGACTTATTGTATTGTGTGACGTAGGTTGTAACGCCTCGTCTGCAGCCGGTTAATTAACATTCATATGATCGTAAGCGCAACATGCTCAACTTAATTAATGCGAAAGCTAACTGAATAAATTTTCTCTTTTTCCTTATGTATTGCAAACCTTTTCACTTCCATGACCAAAATAAAACGAATAATATTTCCTCTTTATTTTGGACCACTGAGGATAATTCCCACCATGAAAATTTCAACCTGAATGACAGTTTAATATAATCCAAGCATAAACCATATTACCTAGCCATCCATGGCGTAGGCTATCTCAGAATCATAACAGATCTTAAAATAAAATATCCATAGAGTTACTTACATGATTACATCAAACAACCAAAAGAGATGTAATCAAATAAGTAACCTAGACATATACAGACATAACTAACAAAATAGATAAACTATCAACATGGCATAAACATCTCCTATGCTCTCAAAATAATGACATGGCATATAGATACATATCCAAGATAAAACCATGTTAAATACGTAGCAGCATAACAAGCTAATCCTGACTATCAGGTCAGATAATATCTCTCGTATGGCTTCTTGCCACGCTATGCCTCAGCACCATCAGCTCCTGTACCTGAAATGGTAATCCTCATAACGCGAAGTGAGATAATATAATTACCTCAATAAGCTAGGGACCCTTGGAGGGCTCCTCCACCTCTAAGCTCACTTTTGGTATAAACACAGTATAAAAATACATGCATGCATCAGAATATGTATGACAATGCAGTGTGCAATAATGTAATCCTAATGGCCAGAGAATATAACAAGTATGCATTACGCAAGGAAACACTGTCTTGCAACATGTCGTATAAGGAAACACTGTCTCATACTATGCATAAGGAAACACCGTCTTATGCCTCATATAAGGAAACACTGTCTTGTGTGGCACACAAATATACATACATATACATGCAACATATAACAAATCGTTTTCAACATACCATATCAAACTATCACATTCCCTCGGAGTTTGGTGGAACAAACGGGAGATTAACCCCAAGGACCGAAAGCTTACCTGGAATAGCTCTTTTTCTAGCCTCTTCCAAGTCAAAGGTCCACAAGCCAACAAAATGCTCAACAAATGATCAACACACCTATCTATGGTGAATTTACCGCAATTAAACATATATCATTTCATAGAAGTTTTACATCAAACCATTGTTTGATACTTACCTCAATCTCAAGTAATCAAGAGCCTTGCTTAATGTCCATGCTCTTGCTCCACAAGTCCACTTGGTCTCACATTATAACCAATGAACACATTTACATCGTTATCCATCATCAATTCATATATACGGTACTGTTCATCTCTACAGTACTATTCATGTAACATCCTGAGCGCTGACGAGGGCGGGGAGTGATCGCCGATGCAAAGAGGCACGAACAAGGAGCGGCTCCTGACAAGCTTCCAGCGGGGGGTTACATGCATGAATGAATCGAATCGACACCCGAAAGAGAGGGATTCTAAAGACTGTGCAGGTATGAGACTGCACAGTTTGGGATAGCTTATAAGAATTAATTAGTACTACCTATACTAACAAGATGCATCTACTTTTTGGTAGCCCGGAACGAAAGAACTCCACAGTTAAGCGTGCTTGACTTGGAGCAATTCTAGGATGAGTGAACTCCTGGGAAGTTTTCCTAGAAAGTGTGCGAGTGAGGAAAAAGCACACTGAAAAGTCTCGTGTTAGTATATGAGATAGTCATTGATTCTTGAAGCGGCCGGACGTTACAATTCACATATACGTTATTATTCATGTATACGACACTATTCAAAAATACGATATCTTTAATTTTTCTGAATACATTTTCACCGTTAAAATCCCCATTTAAACACTTTTCTCCACATGAGCTAAGCCTCAATCAAGCTCTAACATGCTCATTCAAGCCAAACTTTCAAAATGAAAACCTAAATTCAATCTTTCTCAAAACTAAAAAGAAAACTAAGATTTCTTAACATAAACTTACCTAGAACGAAGGGGGAAGCTTACTTCAAGCCCCCATGGCCTCAAGCTCCATCACCACCCCCATTTTCCATGAAATCTGAAATCTTAGAGGAGGAAGAATTCTCTCTACAGTGAACCCCACATGAAAAAATGGGTACCAATGTGTTCCTCTCGAAGTTTCTCATAAGTTTGGCTTTGGAACGAAGTGATTTGGAGGTCTCTAGCATTCTCTATGATTTTGGAAGATTTTCCATCAAAATCCCTTTTTCATTTTTTTCTCCTCTGTCGATCGTTTTTCGAAGGAGAAGAAGGAATAGTAAAAATTTTGAAATTTTTTCACTTACATATGTTAAGTGAAATTTAACTGGGTAAATATTTATCTATCTAGTTACCTCTATTCATTACCAAACTTTACCCAATGGACTAGAATATTTTTCTAGTCATGTTTCTAACTTTACTTTCACTTTTTGGGTAACTTTGTTTACCCGCATTTTTACCTCTTACTGTCATTTTAATTACTTAATTGCCTATAACTTACTGACTAATTAAGCTAGGGCTATTATATTTTCCAGAAACCAGTCTGTAACACCTCATTTCGGACCGGCGTATTAACATATGTAACACCCCGTTCTAGAACCGGATTGTTATCATTGCGTACGGCATTAAGCGCAGTTACAATCACATTGGTTCAATTAGAAAACCGGATAAATTTTTCCTTCTTAAACAAGCCGGATTTAAATAACCAAGTGCGTGATCATAACTATATATACTTCACGGAATAGTGGGACTAAACTTGATATTATATTCCCATTCTACTTAACAATACGTCGTTAAAAGTCTTCATCACTTTAATTATCAAATTAATTCTAAACTTCTTTTATGATTTCCATCTTCCACTATGTTATAGTATTTTTCATTAGCTATGCATGGGTTTAAACCACGCTCAAATCGGAGCACCGTAGCCAAAGTTATGCATTTTCTAAGAAAAGGGTGCGAAACCTCCAGAACCCCCGCGCCCGCAGCGTGAGATCCACGCCCAGAGCGTGGGAAAACAGAAAGTTGACACCCCAAGCATGGATCTGGCGCCCCAAGCGTGGATGCTACTGTCTGATCTCGTAATTTGGCGCCCCAAGCGTGAATCTGGCGCCCCAGGCGCCATCCACAGGGCTGGGTGACCCAAAACAAGGTCATTTAACCTACCTATGGTTTTCCACTCATAACTTGAGCTATACTCACTCAAATTACACCATTTTGGTCTCTATGGAAAGCTAAGAGAAATGTCTACAACTTCCATAGAGACATCAAAGTCCAATTCCATCACATTGGGTGTGAAAATTGGTCAAACGGACAGGATGTATTTGTTTTCTCAACATTTCCCAATTTAGCACTAGGTACCTAATTTAGTTTCCAGTCAACAATCTAATACTTAATGAGCATACATATATTAAACTTAAAGTACTCATCAATTACAAATCATGGAACTTAGCTTACAAAACACTATGATCATTCCCTTGGCTCCCATCAATAAAAGAGATGACCAAAGGCATGAGCATAGGCTAAGTCCATGCCAATATACAAATCATACATCTATCAATGGTCTATGAATTACAATCCTATACATGTGAGCTACAAAACATGTATAATATCAAAATATAGGATCCTCATGCATATGCTAATCCAAATATGGCCACTTGCCACTGGTGGCTCCTGCAGCATCCTTACCTGAAAGGGGGTCCCCACAACACGGGGTGGGATATACGAATATATCCAGTAAACCAGGGGTCC